GAAAAAAGCAACACAAAGAAAGAAGAAGGAAGAAGGAAAAAAGACGGAAAAAACCAGAAATGCAACAAAAATGGGACAGAAAAACACAGGGAGGGCTCCAGCTCTTCCTGTTCGATCTTGCAAGGGAGATAGCAAACCAGAAGGCTATTGATGAAAAAACCCTCAATTTCTTCTCTTTTAGGATAGGATATGACTCGGTAACTCAAGATTATTTATCGAAAGAAAATAAGGGAGGCGCTTCGGTGATCTGACGACTCAATAATAGAGGAATTGTACGTCAAGACCGAAAACCCCATTGACAGATGGGTAGCTAGAGGGGCCCACCATGGCCCGCGCGCCGAGTCATCATCTAAAGGTGAGCGAGGAATAATGAATGAATGTAGACGTCAATTATCTCCAAATGATTCATCCACTCATATCCACCCCACCACGTACATTTTTAGGGTTAGGGTTTTGCTTTTCATTCTCGATCACAGGCACGTCCTTAGTTAATCACGCCAATCTAAATAACACACACACACACACACACAACCCCCAAAAAAAATTACATAAAGAAAATTTAAAATAAAAATGGCATTGAAACTTTTACATACAAAAAATGAGTGACAACAAACTGATTTTTATTTGGTTTGTTTGTTTTTGTTGGATAGGTAGAGGGGCATTGCTAAAAGTAGAAAAGAGAAGGGCACAAGTGTTTGCCATCCTCATGATCTATCGAGTCTAAACATTGTCGTGGATCATAATATCGATGAGAGTTGGAGACACGACAAGTTATCATTGATCATCCCTTGCATATGTATGTGGACGGATTTATGGCTCCTTGCATCATATGATCTATTATTAGCTTGATTGGCTAGCTATTTTAGCTTCTTCATTTCCCAAAAGTAAAAGTTCAATTTGAATATGAGTTGTTTCACTCGCTCTTTTTGGCATAAAGGAAGTTATTAATTTAATCACGGCACGATATTTACTCGAGTGTTTTTTTGGTAGACTTACACTATGTTTGGTTCAAGGATTTTGGAAGCAAAAAAAAAGAAAACGGTTTTCTCTCATTTTCCTCACCAAAATGGGAGAAATTTGATTTTCTCTCCACTTGATACATTTTGCCTTCTCATTTTCTTTTCCTTCCACTTTTTCTTTCTTTTTCTCTATAACCAAACAAGAAAAATTGTTTTCAATTCATTTTCTTTTCTTTTCCCTTTCAAATTCCTTGAACCAAACATAGTGTTAAGGTTCTCACATCAGAAACGTTTTTACTCCATTTTTTATTTAAAAAATGTAAATTTTAGTACCACGTAAATACTCCATACTTGCCTACTATGGAGTACCACATTTGTAGGTCCATACAAAATTTGTGTGGACCTTAAATCCACCACTAGCATTCACCTATTTATTCACAAGCCTACCAAGCTACGATATACAAGAAGTACATTGATTCGTTGTTTTGTCTAAACATTTTTAAATTTTAACCATAGCATGCGGAGAAACATATGGTAATTTGGGAAAGTAAATACAAAAATATATCTTCCTTAAACTTCATAAAAATAAAAACAAGAAGAATTTTATGGACGAAGGACGTATTTTTTCTAAAGTAGAAAAGTTTTTTGAGATAGATGTAATATATATATATATATATATATATATATATATATATATATATATATATATATATATATATAGATCCATACTCCATATATAAATACTCCCTCCACAAAATTAATAGCAGACTCTACTGTTCAAAAATCGATGGAATTTTTATTTATTTGTGTATTTCCGTTGATTATTTAATTTGATAAAATTTATATATTCTTTTCAACTTTTTATTTTGTAAAATTTTTGACATAAATTTTGAATACATAAGTTTATTTTATATTTATATATCAATCTATAAAAAATGAACTAATAAAACTTAAAATTTTACACCGTGTTTAGCGTAGTTTGATACTTCCTCCGTCCCACAAAAACGTTCTCATTTTGAATAGAACTTAGTCAAACATTTCCACGCTTTTACTACAAATTGTGAGAAAGGTATATTGAATTATAAAATAAATTTAATATAATTGGATTCATCTTAGGATCTAGTTTTGATATCTCAAATTTTTTTAGCATTTCTTTATTTAGATTATTTTTAATTTATGGTCAAAGCGTGTAACTTTTTGACTAATTTATGGTCAAAATGGGAACTTTTTTGGGGGATGAAGGGAGTATGATATTTTTTTGGGACATAGGAATTATATAGTGGTGAAAATTTTGCATAAATATCGGAAAAAGCCAATTGTTAAAAAAAATATGTTAACGATGGGATAATGCATGAATACGGTTGTGGTCTTGTGGAATAACTTTTATAGGTGCGTTCCCTCATACCTTCCAATCACTTCCATTGGCCGCGCTCTCTCTTTTTTTTTTGGAACAACTAGAATGGTATCTGTGCGATACAGGAAAAGAAATTTTACAAAATTTTGAATATTAAAAAGAAATCAATAAGCACAAATTTAATTCGATTGTTATTATTTTTCCGAGTTAAAGACAAATGATGCATTATTGTTGGTCTACAAATACAAAACAACTGGCTTAATTAACTTTAATCTCACCTCAGCATGCATGATCAATTCAAGATCGCCACATTAATTCAAAATACCGTTGAAATCAAAGATGATACACATCAAATAATTCCTTTATAATCAAAGACTAATATTGCTCTTTACAAACACAACAAGCAGTCCAGGCCAACTGTTTAAGATTTCTATTCTATAGTGTAGGAAATCTCATGATTAGAAAATATGTCTGTTTGGAGAGGAAAATAACATTTGGTAGTCATTTTCCCATTTTCTAGTGTTTGAAAACATGGTCAATGGAAAAAAAACATGTGGTCAAGGTGAAAAATATAATGAAGTCATATCTTCATTATCGCTAATCCAATGCTTGTTCATTGTTTAGGTAATTCCTTCAGTGCCACCATCAAAATCCCCCCATTGCATATCCTCCTCGCACGAGTGGAGTTCCTCTCTTAGCTTTGCCAATTGTGCAATACTCACTGCCAAGAAATTATTGAAAAAGTAACATTGTATGCATTTAATTTTTTTTGTTTTTTAGATAATAATAATAATAATAATATAATAATAATAATAAAAATAAAAATAATAATAATAATTATTATTATATTAATATTAATAATAATAATTTTAGTAATAATGGGGATTGCCTTGACCGCCGGATCACAAATTCTGTGCGTTGTCCCACAATTGCCAAGTGTCCATTTATTCTTTTTGAAACGTGTCATTGAAGTCGCCCCTTATATTTCCGCCGCGTACGTTTTTCTTTTTCTTCTACCCTTTTAATTATCAAAAAAGGATAGCCCCACCTCCCACAAAGTCGACTAGATAATTTTTGATAAGAAGTAAATTAGAAGTTAATCATATATTGGTAACAAAGAGTGATGTATGAAGTATCTGATACTTGCAGAGGCTTTATGCTTAGCATATATAGTTGATTCCCAGCACAGTTGTCACCTGACATGAGTCTTACTCCACCAGTCTCAGTTGTCTCCTAGCGCAATTACTTTTTTATTATTAATTATATTGTTGGGGTACAATTGATAAGTCAAAGAATGTCACACGCGCACTTAATTTTTTTATTTGCTAATCTTATGTTTAAAACTTAATTAATTTTTTCCATATGATCGTCCAATAGGGATTACCATACACTCATTTCGATTTTTGTAGAATGGGTTACACACTTACACTCATTTTGATTTTTTACATTTATTAACAAATATCCTCTGCAGGCTGCAGCTCATAATAAGATATTTTTTTCCAATACGAAATATGCAAGCGATTTTAATTTCCTCTTAAATAGGGGGAATATTAAACTCCGATATGCTCACAATTAATTTAATTTTTGAACTGCAAAATATATTCCTCTTTCATCATTCATTCCAAATAAACTAAATACCAAATCTGTGGAATCAATTTTGGTGTGAAGGGTGTAATTCAAATTCATTTCCAAAAGTTAGAAGGGTTGAAATTGTTTATTTTAAGTCTATCTCAAAATAGTATTCCACATTTAATACCACATCTGTTTAAAAGTATTTGTCTAGCTTTTACTTTTTTTAATCAAAAATAATAATTTTAACATTTAGATTGATAATAATATAAACAAAGACTATGTTTCAATAAAGTTAATAGTGGTCAAAATAAAAAAATTTTAATTATAAATATTTTTTTAAGGAAACTATGGTGCATTTTATACTCGGTATTATTTCTCTATCACCAAATTTTACTCACAAAAAGATCACATTTTCCATTATCTTTCCATTTTAGGATTTTTTTTACTCCCTCCGTCCTAAAATTAATTTCCCAGTTTGACTTTTGGAGTCAAATTTTTTAAACTTTGACCGTATATTACGGAAAAAATATATTGAATTTTCATATAAATTTATTAGCAATAGATTCATTTTGAAACATAGTTTTGAAATGTATAATTTTTATAAAATATATTTATATCAAAATTGAGATATTGATGGTTAAAGTGTCGCATTTGAGACCGTGAAAAGTCAAATGGGAAATTAATTTTAGGACGGAGGGAGTAATATTTTCTCTGTCTATAGTAAGGAAAAGTATTTGTTCGAAGGGCAGCTGCAAATTTGAAGAAAGAATCCAAGCCCCCCCCCCCCCTCTCTCTCTCTCTCTCTCTTCCTTTCACCATCCTTTTTCTGCTTGAGGTTAAAGTTCAGTGCTTTATTTCTTTATATATCTTCTTTTGGACTTGTTCTTGAAATAGTTCATCAATCAATTTCCAGCTCTCAAAAATTCAATTTTTCTTTTTGGGTTCACTCAAGAAATAATTGCCATGAAATTGAATAGAATAATAATAATAATAATAATAATAATAATAATAATAATAATAATATGTGATCATCAGTGAACCCCAAAGCTTATCTTTTTCTTTCTGTCCTTATCGGTGCAACTATATGCGATTGACAGCGGAAATTCATTGGAATTGTCGTATAAAAAGCCTTCTGGTTTGCCGATTTTAGAGGGGGAAAAAAGGAGGAAGGTTTTAGAGTTGTGTAGTTCGATGGGAGCGGAGGATGAATTGTTATTTGACAAGTTGATGGTCAGCGGCGGCGGCGGCGGCGGCGAGTGGAAGGACATACCGGCGGAGTTGCTGGTGAGGATTGTGTCACTGGTGGGTGATGATCGGACGGTTATTGTTGCTTCTGGGGTTTGCTCTGGCTGGAGAGATGCCCTCTCTTGGGGCCTCACCCAACTTTCCCTTTCTTGGTATCATTTTTCCCTTTTCTCCTTTCATTCCCAACTCTCTTTCTGTCCAATTTCAGTTTTCTTGGTTGTGGGTTTTTTTTTATATTTTTGTTTATTTCATTTTCCAAAAAAATAATAATTTTGAAAGTATGAATTCTTGTCATCCAAAGTTGTGTGATTAAATCTAGGACTTCTAGACATGCCTAACCTTATTCATTTGGAAATTGCAATGGTTAGTGTACCAGAGTTAAAATTTAAAAATTTTGTTATTGGGTATGTTGTTGTGTTCTTACTTTGAATGTGTTTAAAGGGAAATTAGAATAGCTTTTTTTGGGGATGATTGATTGATACATGTTAAGAAACAGGTGCAACAAGGAGATGAACAATTTGGTGTTGTCATTTGTGTGCAAGTTCACAAAGCTGAGGGTTCTTGTTCTGAGGCAAGCCTCCCCCCAGCTTGAGGACAATGCGGTCGAGGCCATCTCAAACCTTTGTCGCGAATTGAGAGAATTGGATTTGAGGAAGAGCTTTAAGCTGACCGACCGCTCTCTCTATGCTCTTGCCCATGGCTGCCCAAACCTCTTGAGGCTAAACATAAGCGGGTGCTCGGCTTTCACTGATGCTGCCATTGCGTACCTCTCTGAGCATTTCACTAAGCTTCAAGTCTTAAATATGTGCGGTTGCGTTAAGGGTGCTACCGATTTTGCCCTCAAGGTATGTCCATCATCACACGACATTTCTTCAACATTTCTCCCTCCATTCCATATTAACTATCTATATTGTGGGTTTCTTGATTCATTGAGAAGTAAATGAATGTAGACGTATGTCTACGTTCATTCCTTTTTTCAACGTACCAAGAATGTGTTAATGGACCGTTTGGGGTGACCACTTAGTTGGGAGAGTCATGATAGTGTCCCTTATGAAAATATATGTCTCAGGCGATCGGATACAACTGCAAGAGGTTGAGGACGGTGAATCTAGGGTGGTGCGACAAGGTTGGAGACGAAGGGGTGATGAGCTTGGCATATGGCTGCCCTGAGCTAAGGGCACTTGACTTGTGTGGGTGCGTCCTAATCACGGACGACAGTGTGATTGCCCTGGCCAACAACTGCCCCCACCTCCGATCCCTCGACCTCTACTTCTGCCAGAACATAACTGACCGAGCCATGTACTCTCTTGCCCGGAAGCACAAGATATGGCGGTCACCACCACCACCACCACCACCATCATCATCATCCATGGAGGTGGAGGAGCAGAAGGAGGGGGAGGAGGAGGGGCTGATGAATCTGAACATCAGCCAGTGCACCGCCCTCACGCCGCCAGCGGTCCAGGCGGTGTGCGACTCCTCCCCTGCCCTCCACACCTGCCCGGGACGCCATTCCCTCATCATAAGCGGTTGCTTGAATCTGACCTCCGTGCACTGCGCGTGTGCCGCACTGCACGCGCACCGACCCCACACTGCACTCCCTCCCACCTGTTGAACTAATTGTTTCCAAACTCTACTGGTTCATCCATGTGTGTGTGTGTGAATAATATATGTTCTCTGTTAAGTGAGCTTTGGATGAGGAGTTTTTATGATGTTGAATCTTCTTCGTTGTCATTGTTGCCATGCCAGAACTTCTCTGGTTATATTGAAAAGAAAAAGGAACCGGGAAATATAAGTTTTCATGCCAAATTGTTTCTGATTTACAAAAAAATGATTTTAGCAGAAAATTACTTATGGGTGATGCGAGTTTTGTTGAAATAACTCTCAGGTTCCTCTATTTTCAAAAAGACAGCAGAGGTTCTTACATTTTATTGTAATGACTGGAAGAGGACATTTCATCCAATATTTCATTTATAAACGTTAATAAATATATTTTTTCCTATTCTTTTCTAAATGTTTTAAGGTAATAAATCTTAAGTCACTCTTTTTTTATTTCTTTGTTTTTCTTTCACTTTGTTACTATTTTTTAAAGTGTTATTTTAGAATTTCTTCTATAAAATCGTATAAAAATTCAAAATTGTTTGTATTATACTCCCTCCGTCCACAAATAAACTTTACGTTCACTATTCACATGGTCAAATTTTATTCATTTTGTTGGCCTATTTTCGTCACCCATTTGATAAAATAATATATTCATGTTACCTCTAGTTTTGTAGATCTTTTGATATAGTTTTTTAATACTCCGTATGTAATTTTTATTTTTCAATTCTACACCATTTTTCATATAAAATGATTTGAAAATAACTTTGGTCAAACTTTGTAACGCGAAATGTAAAGTTTATTTGTGGACGGAGAGAGTATTAAAAACAAATGAAATAAAAAAAATTTTAAAAAAAGAAAAAATTTTAAAAAAAGAAAAAATAAGGTAATGTCAAAATAGGAAAAAACATTATTGGAAAAGATGTGGTGGCTCCTAGAAAAATGACTTGAAAAACATGTGAATAAAGATGATGATGATGAGGTTGAGTTGTTTTCAGACTGTCATACACTACACATTACGTATTGGTGAGGGTTCCAATAGGATCAATATTTGAGGTTTCGCTAGGAATGATATGGATGTTCCACGGGCGTGAGAGTTTTCCCACTTAATTTTGTTGTACTGTTCTTTTGATTTGGAATGAATATTTTTGTTACGTAAAAAACGTATAATTCCTAATTTTCAATTGCACTAGGATAAAATTCAACAATAAATAAGTTATTTTTTATCTCTCTAAAATTTTTTTGTTATTGAGTCATCCTTGTAAAAATTTTCATTTTACAAATGACCGCTAAGCACAGTTTACACCCAATTCATTAAGATATCACATTTATTTTGAATTCAGCATCTTAATCTTACATTTATAATTACTGAGACATAATTCTGATCTCAACATTCATCTTCTTCATCAAATTATGTCCTCAATTTCAAAATTTTATTATACTATATTGCTAAAATATTTGAGAATTGGAATATGAACAAGGATATCATTTAGGACATGAGAATTGTATTGAAAAAAGTAGCAATGCAAGACTAATACGGAGTAATTAGTATGAAATAAATATATTATCTTAACAAATAAGAAGTAAAAATTATATTGAAAGACTCTTTTGAAATTAAAAAAATTGCAAGGATATTTATAAATCACAGTTTTTAGCATATCTAAAAGGTTAGGGTGGATAGTTAATACGGATGGAGCAATAAATTAACACAAAACATCCATAATTAAACATATTTTAACGCATCTCACCATTGACTAGAAAAGTTAAAAACACCACAGAGATTCTTCTAGCAATTGTTGTCGTCAGAGAAGGTAATCTTTTTCCAGCAAAACAGTGACCTCATACTAATGTCTTTTATCTTAAGTTTTTCTTCTTGCCGTGCGCATTCTTCGTACCTAGAATATCAAAAACCCATGTGACCTCTCCATGTATACCAAAAACTTCACCCACTTAGCTCTTGATAACAAAACTCAAAAACACAAAACGTTAAATCTCTCATACCAATGCTCCTCTGCAAGCTTGTACCTAATTAACAAAAATAATGGCATTAAATTTATGAAATGACAAATAAAACTTGAAAAAACATTCTAGAAGTAAATCTCTATAACATTGAAAAACAATTTACTTGGGTCGGAGAGGGTATGGAGCTATTTCAGCCGAGCCAAAGAAACTATAATTACAGGCCGTTCCACCTGTTTGAAGCCTCTTTTCCAATGCCTGCCGTATAAAATATTTAATCATCTATCGTAATTTCAGGTAACTAGTATAATTTTCATCATAAGTATACACTACTCTCCAAATAACTAACACACATTTTGCCATTAGTACAAAATTACCCTCACCTTCTTTGCTTCAATATCAGAAGCAAACTTAACAAAACCACAGCCCACATGCCTACCCCTGTCATTTACAATAATTCGAACACTAACTTCTCCAACGTCTTGGATGAAACTGATGCTGTACATGGGGAGGGAGGATAAATAATCAGCAATGAAAAACATGAACCAACAAAAGAAGAAATTAAAAGTGCGACTTACATCTTTGGTATTTTGCATATGGGAGGAAGATTTTGAATAAAGAGTGTCTTTTTTCTCACAGAAACTTCCTGAATTTTGCAGCAAAATGTGTTAGCACAACTCTAAGGAGAAAAAAATTAATTGCATATCAATAACAAGTAGATTCATCGCCAGAATAACAAAATGGTTCTTCTAAGCACTAGGAAAATAATAGGAAAAGGTACCTCAACCAATTCATCAAGTCTTTCCACTCCCTCATCCTCTTCAATCAGAAGGTTTTCACCTCGAAGGTAGTCTTCATACCTGGAATATCAAACACCCTTGTGACCTGTCCATCTATACCAAAAACATAATCCATTGTGCTCTTGATAACAAGCTTAAAAGGAAAACAAATCTCTCTTACCAAACTTTGTGATCTATGCAATACCTAATAAACAAAAATAATAGCATTAGTCATCTGTAATGGCAACAAATCTCTAGCAATAATAAACAACCAATGTTACCGAAACAAATCTCCATAACATGGAAAATCAATTTACATGGGCAGTGGAGGGCATGGAGCAAGCTCAGCCACGCCAAGAGTAATCTGATTACTGGACAAATATTCACCATTCTTCTTCTCCTGCGCCTGAAATATAACAGATTTTATCAGCAATGGTACTCTCAAATAACTACTTCAGTATTCTTCAACAAAAGTATTAACTACTTTTGAAATGAATACTAAAAACACATTTCATCACTACAAAACTACTCTCACCTTCTTGGCTTCGTGAGCAGAAGCAAACTCAACAAAACCATTGCCCACATGCTGACCCGTTTTGTTTACAATAAGTCGAACATGAACAACTTCTGCAACATCTTTGAAGAAATTGATGCTGTAAAATGGAGGATAAAAAATTCGTCATGAAAATCTGGCTAGAAGAGCGAAAGAGGAAAATAAAGGTGCAACTTACATGTCGGATATTTTAGTTTGGCAAGCCAGATTGCCAATAACGAGTGTCTTTTTTCTTATGCCAACTGCCTGAATTTAACAGCTAAGTGTGTTAGTACGACTCAAAAGAAAAAAGGACTAAAACTGCATAACAAAAAGTAAGCTCATCCAAAGATTTGTCCCCCCATAACAAGTCTTCTAGGCATTTCTTCTAAGCCTGACATAATTTGAAGGGAAGAAGAATAGGTACCTCAACAAAATTGCAGGTTTCATCACGTGCTTCCAGTCTCTGATCTTTTTTCAGAAAGCTTTCTTGAAAAAGGTAGTCTTCGTACCTAGAATATTAAGAAACTCCAGTGATCTATCCATGTACACTAAAAACCTCACCCAATGTGCTTGTGATAAGGAACTCATGAGTCAAGATGTGAAATCCTTTACCAAAGCTTTTCTGCAAGGCTGTACCTAATTAAAAAACAAAATATTGTTGGTCTAATGTAATGGCATCAAAACTCTTGCAATAAGTTACAATCAGTGTTACATAAACAAATCTCCATATCATTGAAAATTAATTTACTTGGGTCGTGGAGAAAATGAAGCTTTCTTAGCATCATCAAGAAAAATCTTATGATCGTGCAAGTATTGACCATTCTTCTTTTCCAACGCCTACAGTAAATAGGATTTAATCAGCTACCATACTTACAAAAACAATAGTGTATTTATATTTAGAAGTATACATTATTTAAATTGCTTTGATACTTTTCACATCATTACTACAAAACTACTCTCACCTTCTTTGCATCAAAAGCATGAGCAAACTCAACAAAGCCATAACCCACGTGCTTACCCTCGTTGTTTACAATAAGCCGGATACTAAAATCCTCTGCAACGTTTTTAAAGAACTCGATGCTGCGAAAATTGAGGATAAACTATCAGTCATGAAAAACTCACCCCAAGGACAATTTTGAAGGTGCTACATACATATGCAACATTTTAGTTTGGGGAGAGATGTTGGCAACAAATATTGTCTGTTCTCTTGCTGCAATTGCCTGAATTTAACAACCAAACGTGTTAGTAAGACTCTGAGTATAAAATGACTTGAATTGCATAACAAACAGTAGACTTATCTAAACATTCATTCGCATAAGTCATTTTTCAACCTTGTGACAACACTTCTGTTATTAAAAGCTAAGTGATTCTTCTGAGCCAGATATTTTGAAGATAATAAGAATGGGTACCTCAAAAAAACGGGGAGGTATCTCCACTCCTTCAATTGGAATGCTTTCTCGTCGGATGTAGTCTTCATACCTGGAATTTCAAAAAAAAAACATGTGAGCAATTCATGCATATAAAAAACTTCAGCTAATGTGCTCTTTATAACAAACTCAATAGGCAAGAAGTTATTCCCTTACCAAACCTTGTGTTCTATACAAAACCTAATTAACAAAAATAGCAGCGTTAATCATCTGTTATAGCATCAAAACTCTAGCAATAAGTTAAAGAAACAAATTTCCATCAAACGGAAAATCAATTTACTTGGGACGTTGAGGGTATGGAGTCATCTGGGCAAAGCCAAGAAAAATCTTCTGACCACGCAAATATTCACCATGCTTCTTATATTGTGCCTGCAGCACAGAAGATTTAATCTCCAATGGTACTTTCAAATAACTACTTGTATAAATTTCATTGTAAGTTTCACTACTTACCAGACGACTACGAAAATACATTCCATCATTACTACAAAACTACTCTCACCTTCTTTGCTTCGTTAGCAGAAGCAAACTCAACAGAGCCACAGCCATAATTCCAACCATTGGGGTATACAATTATTCGAACATTAACAACTTTTGCAACATCTTCAAAGAAATTGATGCTGTAGAAAAGGATGAGAGAATGTTAGTCATGAAAAACTTACTCAAAGAACAAAAGAGGAAATTAAATGTGCTACCTACATCTCTGATATTTTAGTTGCGAAAGAGAGATTGTCAATAATGAGCGACTTTTTTCTTGCAGCAACCCCCTGAATTAAACAGTCAAGTGTGTTATCACAACTACAAGGAGAAAAGAACTTAAACTGCATGACAAAAAAAGAGTCATCTTTGTGGGCACAGTTCTGTAACTAACGCCAAACATTAGCATAACATGGGGAGATAGTAAGAAGAGGAACCTCAACAAAGTGGGGAGTTTCATCAAGTTCTTCCACTGTCTCCTGTAGCATGATGAGTAGCCATAGGATCACATTTTGGCCAGGATAAGAATAAGATGCTGAATTGAATATCATCATATATCTCACAAAGAATAAAATACTCCGTAATTAAAGATACACAAATTATTATACCTTGACTGGAATTAAACTAGCCTCAGATTTTAACTCCAAGCTTTCGACCCTTCCTTTGACCTCCTGGAGATTATCAGCAAATCCGTGTGTTGTCTCCTGTTACGAGTAGCCATTAGAACAGAGTGTGAATAAAATTGTTCTAGAAAGAATCGGACAGTTACCTTCTCCTCAGATCTCTCCTTATGTTTCCTCAAAGTCCAGTTGGTCTCACACTCATATTTTGGCTCTCGCTTTCGCTTACCTAAAAGAAGAGCAGCAAATATAAACAGTTAAAATCAGCATCTTCAGCAAAGGCCGTTCAATCCAAACCAGATGAAAAACTCATGATTTTCGAATCAGATAAGAGAGAGTCGCCTGATAAACTAGCTTTCTCGGCCGATTTCGTGCCAGAAGAACGGGCCATTGAGAAGATGAAAACAGAGAAGGCTGCTTTTTTGTTGGAAGAAGAGCGGATGAGGATTTGGTTCTCCCCGATGGCGAAGAGCAGCGTGGCCCAGATGTACAGAAATACAGTGTTTTAGCAAATTAGGTTTTCTAGGTTTTGTGTGGACAATGAATGAATGAATTCCGTAGAAAGCGTTTCTTTTGGGAGACCCTTCTCTTTAGTTGATGATTGGGTCCGATCCGGGCCGGATGGGTCATCTCTCCCTCTTTCCTCCATCCCAATCCCAGCCCGGATTTCCGCCCCACCCCTAAAATCCGCCTGCAAAATAATTGGTTTGAGTTTGACATTTTAGAAAGCAAACAAATAGAGCTGGCAAAATACGACTCGACCCGTTTTTTACCTAAAACCCGACTCGAAAGTAGCGGGTTTTGAACATGAATTTTGTGACCCGAACTCGAAATAACCCGAACCCGAGGACCTGTTAAGATTTCGGGTCAGGTCGGGTCTAACTCAACGGGTTAAGCACTCCAAACTTAAGAATTAAGATTTTATACGGAGTATTTTTATTTATTCAAATCCCTTGCATCTGCCGATTCTAATCCACAATCCACATACAGGAATACTAATCGGCTCTGTTCCCTCTCCATCGGCGGACCCTCCCTCTCGCAATTGCTCCGCCAATCGTTGCAGACTTGCAATCTTCTCTCTTCCGTAAATCATCCTCCGACCTCTGGTGGCCTCGGCTCAATGGTGAGAAGAAATAAGCATAGTAGTGGAATTCCTAACCCTAATTCAGCATCTTCAGTTGGGTGTATAGGTAACTCATGTTAACTCTCTTTTAAAATATAAAATCATTGCTTTTTATTTAGGAAGTATGTTTTAATCTGTGTTTTTTGCTATTTACGGAGTATTATGTTTCGATTTTGGAAACTTGGTAAACTGCCGCACTCTGCCATTGGAGTATTATGCTTTCACCACGGAGTATTATCTTTCACCACGAGCAAATTTGCTGATTTGAAAATTTTTGCTATAAACTTGTCTATTTGCTATAAACCTGTTCCTATTTGCTATAAAATTGTCTATTTGCAGATTTGGAAATCCCCCCCAAGCAAGCAGTATATATACTATATATTCTTGGGTGTTCACATCAACAATACTACCCAAGTTTTGACTTTTGACCAATTGAATACATGTCCTCAATTTTCTTGTGAGGGAATTTGATCCCCAAAATTTAAAGTCTATAGATATTGACTAAAATATAGCACTCTTTTATTTTTTGTGTTAACTACATTATAAATTTTAGGAGTTTCATTTTTTATTTTATCATACAGGAACTACCACTAGAAATGAAGAGTCATCTCAAAGTCGGAAAAGAAAATGGGCTTCACCAATTTGGGACGAGTATGATGTGTTTGATTACCACTCGTAGTTGGATATTTGGCTATGATATTGATGAAGGTAATTTAATATATAAGCCTCATTTTTATTTTTCACTTACAAATTAACTCTTCATATGTGTTATTGTATTAATATGTAGATGAACATGACAAACTTGAAGAAGGCATTGAATTGGATTTCAGGCGTTCTACTCGTGATAAGCATCAAATTGATATGGGGAATGACTTCACTTGAGAATGAAATTCTAATCATTTTGTTTGAACTCTAAATTATTTGGTTTTTTGATTAGTGTGCTTGGATGGTTCATTTGGGACATGATGATGTTTAGAACTTTTTGCTATGTTTACTTTTTTGTCGTTGTTTTGAATGATTTTTTTCTATTTTGAAAAATGCATTGATCACTTCATCTCTAAATGAAAAATTTACAATTTTTAAATACGCTTCTTAACCCGTTGGGTCAATCCGAACCCGATAGGTCTGGGTCATGAACAAGCATCCTTAGACCCGAACCCGAAGTAACCCGAACTCGATATGACCGAACCCGAACCCGACCTGACCGACAGTTTTGACAGGTCTACAAACAAACAATATAAGACAAAATAATACTCCTTCCGTCCTGCTATATTCGTCCACTTTTGACTTTTGAAACTGTTCATATAAGTACTTTGACTCATCAAATTCTCTACATGTGTAAGCCTAAATATAGTCATATGTGATCTTGTTTGATTTGTCTTAACATATAGGTTAATAATATATGATTTCTTTAATTTTTTAAAATACAAATTACAAGATAAAATGGATTAAAGAGGTGTATTGGATGGTGTGTAACAATGAAAGTTGACAAATACTCTGGGACGGAGGTAGTATACTCCGTAAAAAATAAAAAAGCAAAACAATCAAAAAAAAAGATGGTTCTTTAAACAAAATATATAAAAAAAAACTTACAAAAAGTTCACAAAATAACACAGCCATTCTTCTTGGGGAAGTTAGGGGTGGACACGGTACGGTTCCGGAATTGCCGGTTCCGGAACCGCCGGTTCCGGTACCGCCACCCCATGTCACCGGAACTGTCACCGTGCCGGCCGGTACCGGTTCCGGTTCCCGGACCGGCGGTTCCGGTATCGGACCGGCCGGTTTCGCCCCCCCCCCCTTTTTTTTTTGCTTTTTTTAAAATTTTTAAAGTATAAAATTTTAAATTTGCAATTGTTTAAGTAAAGAATGAAATAAAAAATCTAAAAATGTAGTTGTTATTTAAATATTTTAAATGAATAATACACTAACTAGAGAACAACCACATTTAATATCCTGACGGTTCAAAAAAAGCGACGAGGTAAAGAACCGTAAAGAAACCCTCGAAGGAGCTTATATATCGCTCACCTAAAAAACTAATTACATAGTTACATTAACAATTTAACATAAGAAAAATTATAAATTATTCTTCAGAACTCGGACTTCCATCTGTTGTTATATTCATGTAATGCTCCGATTCGAGTTGGTACGAAGCCTCTTGAGCTCTACGTCTTACCAAGAGCCAATCTTGGTTGGAAACCAGTGTTTCAAGAGATTCAGCGCTAAGTCAACTTCGATAGTCGGTTAGAATGTTGCCGCCAGCACTGAATTCTCGTTCAACTACTACGGTTGATACCGGAACGGATAACACTTGTCTTGCTAGCATGCCGAGACATGGGAACATGTGTTCGTTCCGCTTCCACCATCCGAGCACGTCAAAATCCACGTCGTCGTCATCATAATCGGCGCTCATATCCACGGACCTTCTACTGGACTCTCTCGACATTTTGATATATATTTTTTTGATATAAAAAAAATATATTGCTTTTGGAAAAATATATAAAATTTCAAAATTTTATATATTAAAATTTCGAAATTTTCAATAAGTAATAGAGAATATATTTAAAATATAAATTATATATTTTTTGATATTAAAGATATATTAAATTTTGAAAATTTCAAATAATTTCGAAATTTTATATATTAAAATATAATGTATTTTAAAAAGATAGATAAGAAATAAGAAATTTAGAAATTAAGAATGATTGATAAGAATTAAGAAATTAATAATGATATGTTGAGATTTGAGAGAATGAGAGATGGATTGATTGTGAATGTGTGATATTTTTTTTTAAAAAAATGGGATATTTATAATGTTATTAGTCCCCCCTCCCCTCCCCAATCCCCATCCCCCCTACCTCTAACGGCTCAAGAGCCGTTGAGGCCCCCCCCCCACTAACTTTTTTTTTGCAGGATTTGCAGGTTGTGTCCATTGATGGCAGGAGCAAAAAAAAAGAAAAAAAAATTAAACCGGCACCAGAACCGGTACCGGCGGTGCCGGTGACGAAAATTGGGAACCGGACACGGTACCGGTTGGGCGGTACCGGTTCCAGGCACTTGTTGCTCGTCTCTGGTGACGGTGACGGTACTCGGTACCGGCGCCGGTGATGGTACCGCACCGGTACTGTGTCCAGGCCTAGGGGAAGTCTTTATCCAACATCTTGTTGTTTGGTGAAAAATCATTGCTTCTTACCTTTTGTCAACTTTCCTCGATATTAAAATTTTTAAAAGAAAAACTTGTTTAGAAATTATAAGCACCTTTGTGGAACGAAACAAGCAAAGGTGCCTACCATAATTAGCAACATTATTCAAATAAATACTCCAATAAATCTGTGATTATATAGTAATCCTCCTAAATTCTATAATTGACGAAAATACTCTCAAAATTTACTTTATTTTACACCATTACTTCATGTTGCCAACTAAGCTGAATATGTGACATTTTTCATGCTGAGTTGGAAATTATAAAGTACTAGTATTCCTACCCGTGCCATGCACGGGTTCGGACGCATATCTTGTCGATTCTAAATTTATTCAATGCAATATTTTTTCCGGAATAAAAGAAATATATACCTCATGCATGATTTATAATAACACAGAAAAGAAAGGCAAAGTAAAAAGAATAATATTTGAGGAATTGAATCTACACACAACAAAGTTTGCTTTAATACCAAATTTTTTGTAAGATTTCAGGGTATACAACATTTTTTGTATGGCTGCAAGGATTTCCATTGTCATCTAAGACTAATATTTTTTATTCTGTCTTCGTCTTCATTCGCGAAACAGCAACATAAAGCTGACCATGAGTGAACACTAACTTGGTTAAAAATAATCCAACAAATGATAATGTTTGACCTTGACTTTTGTTAATAGTCATAGCAAAACATAAGACTATTGGAAATTGTCTTCTCTAGAACTTTAGAGGTAGTCCTGNAATAAAAGAAATATATACCTCATGCATGATTTATAATAACACAGAAAAGAAAGGCAAAGTAAAAAGAATAATATTTGAGGAATTGAATCTACACACAACAAAGTTTGCTTTAATACCAAATTTTTTGTAAGATTTCAGGGTATACAACATTTTTTGTATGGCTGCAAGGATTTCCATTGTCATCTAAGACTAATATTTTTTATTCTGTCTTCGTCTTCATTCGCGAAACAGCAACATAAAGCTGACCATGAGTGAACACTAACTTGGTTAAAAATAATCCAACAAATGATAATGTTTGACCTTGACTTTTGTTAATAGTCATAGCAAAACATAAGACTATTGGAAATTGTCTTCTCTAGAACTTTAGAGGTAGTCCTGGATTAGACGGTACCAAATTCATCCAGGGTGTGTAAACTTTTTCGCCCA